GGATGGGAACTAGATACAGTTTTTGCTTGTTTACTTATACATACCTAGGGTTTATATTTACATATTTGTGTATGGATTTCTTTATATGAAATACTATTCTATTATTACTATCACAATTTCATTTCTAAGTACTTGCAATGTGGTAGGTCTGGTGGGATATTTAACAAATTTATTCCCATTGCTTTTATTTTTGATTATCTTAAATTAGGGTTCCAAATATGCCAACTTCTTTCTTTTTAATTAATTTAATTCAAGCACTTTTTTTATCTTATTGTTTACAAAGTTTCCAAGTCAATTTTTGTTTTAAGTAGGTATTGTTTAGGTTACATTTGACTTAAAAGACAAACGAATTTCAAAAAAAAATTTGTACTATTAGAAAGTAAAGAAGTTGTATATCATGACAATTAAAAAATTTTTGGAGATTATCCACGATTAAGCGAGAACTTTAATATTAAAATCTCAAAAATTGCACATTTTTCACCAAATATTTTGACTTATGTGTACAGGGTTGCCAAGTATTTTAATATGTAAAAAGATATAATTAATTTGTAAACTCGTAAATTATTATACTTTTATGATTTGTTTATTTAAATAAAAATAATAGAATTTTGTGATAAAATACCAGAATCTGTATCAAACATCGCTCCCTGACCCCTAACACAGATCAAAGAATAATATCTGTTCATATCAGCTCATACAATTGTTTATAAAATTAAACAGGAATCCTTTGTAAGTTTTTATAACTTACTGACATTTCACATGACATTTTTGAGTAATTTCTAAAAATACAATGTTACAAAATCATTTTATTTGACTCATTCAACATAAAATTTCACTCTAAATTCTCTGCTACCTGGTCATCATAGATTCTGGTCATACTGTTAATACCCAGACTATACTTAGTTTTAATAATAGTAGTAATAAATTAATCTTGGCAACCCCGCTCATTATCCAGAAAAGAAATGTCAAATATTAAAATTTTCAAGTTTTAGGTTAAATTTAATAAAAGACTCATTTTCTTATTTTCAAAAAGTATTTAATTAAAATATATAATTGATTTATACTTTTTTTTTTCCTATTTCCAAACCTAAGGTGAGTTAAAATCATACTTAATATCATTTAAATCAAAAAAATGAAGTAAAATGGTCAAACAGTGTGTCCCTAAAGTCGAACGTAACCATTGTTTATTAATAATAGTAATAATAGATTGCTTTTATTGGTATAACTAAACAAAGTTACAATAAAATATATTCCAGATGGCAAAATTCACAAAATGTAAGACTTTTTTGCTCTCTCATTCAAATCTAAAATTAAGTACTTACCTAAAGATAACTAAAAAACAGTGACTTGCACATAATATTAGCCCCGAATAATATTTCTATATCTATTGAACATAAGCACAATAACAAAAACAATATTTGATTTTATTCCATTTATAGAGGCATGCAGGATTTAATATTTTATAAAATAGTGTTACTGCAGAAACAGTTTGCCTTTCAATCATATTGAGACAACCAATATTTTGTAAATGGGGAGTAGTATGTTCTCTTCTGCTTATAGCCTAAGAGCCCACTACAAATTTTGGCCGTCATCTGATGAAATATGCCCCTAAGGGCATTCAAAACATTGTACTTTACCAATCGGAATCTGTGCCAGTCGTGACCAAATGTAAATGTCTGATAGCTGTAATATAATCTTTTTTTGGGTGACGATTGTTTCTTTATTTTTACACTATGTACAAGTATATGTATATATTGTAATATTCTTGAAATAAAATATATTTTTTATTATTATCCAAATGAAAATAGAATTCAATAGGATACAATTAACTCAATTTGGGCATTTTTGTACCTGTGTTATTTTTGAAAGAAAATCTTCAATTACTCTTCCTTTGGTACCATTCTGTATTGTTTTCATGGTCTTCCTAGGCAAATATCTAATAATTGCCAAGAAAAATATTTTGCATACTTCCTGTATTGTACCAGTAGCATCTTTGAGCCTGTAGGTAAAACTCATTGACCTTCGTGAATCTAAAAATACCTTTGCATTTTTTCCTTTCTGTCATATTTAACACAAAAGTTTTTTGCTCTAAATCCGTTAATTGCCAGTAATTCAAATTTATATTTGCACGTTGTTCTTCTGAAATTTTTTTGGTACAGCATTTCTTGCACATGGATTTTTCAATAAATGCTTATTTTTTTTATCTTCGACTTTGTTTTTTTTTCTGCTTTCTAAAGTCGTACTGAATTTTCTGCGTTTTCGGAGCTGTCCTGTTTTTGTATATAAACTGGCTTCTCGGTTTTCGGATTGCTCAATTGCAGCATCAATCATGTTATCGACAATTTCGGTAACCAAAGCAATAACATTATTATTGTTATTATTTGAATCTGAAGTTATAGCGTTTCTGGGACGAATTACAACATTTTGATGGATAATAATCGAAGGAAGTTCAGGTTCCACTTCTTCTACTGCTTCTGAACTTGATGTGTCAGACGATGATGGGATCTCAAAATCTGGTTCATCTTTTTCATAATTTTTTGTTAAGCGTGTTTGAGCATTTTTTTCTAAATTCGTGTAATTTAGTGGCCAGCTTTGTTTTTCCTTGCTACTGCTTGCAACAATCGCATAGATCTGCTATTATTACCATCCATTATCCTAAAAATAGGCTCTATGTTAATAAAAGGCTTCGCTGGCTACACACTGATGTGTTGATGTGATCAAATGTAGAATGACAACTAACTTACTTTCTTTTTAAGTCCTATAAAGTAGGTATCACTTCAACAATAAGTTTAAGGCCACAGTTTATTTATTTTGGAAGAAACATACAAAACTATCTGAACAGAAGTATGTACAAGGTCTAAGCGTCAAAATGCCGGCGAGGCTAGCTGCGAGCTTAGTGTGCATCCACATACTCGCAACAGTTAAGCAGTGATTTCTCCGGTCACGTCGTGGATGGGTGACCGCTGGGAGGTTCCACCATGGGCCGTGTCACTATGGGACTCATCCGACTAGCAGTTAACCACTGACGACGTGGAATGAATGACGATGAATTAGGGAGTGAATTGTTGAATGAGAAAGTAGTAGGACCTTCAAATGGTGGTACAACAAGCCCCAGGCTGCAGTGCCGCCAGGCAAAAAAAAGCGTCAAAATACTCAAACTGTGTCAGATTTCGCGCCAAATCCGTTGTTAGAACGATTCGCCGTATCTACTTCATTGTTAAGTAAATACATCGTATGTACACTATGTTAAGATTATATGTCGTATTTGAATTGCAAATACGACATATAAATTTAAAAATATGCATTGATGACAAATAAATAATATGATTTTTTGATCAGTGATGAAAGTTATATGACATTTTGAACTAATAAATAGACCTTGAACTGATGTGATATACCCGAAAATCTCAAATTCTGCCAAACATGCAGGTACGACTCTTATAGACCGTCAGATAGTGACTGATTTAGGTGCCCCATTTTCGCATGCAAGCCTCGAAGAGGGTTGAAAAGTACATCGATTTTGAGTAGAATGAAATCAAATTTATGAGCGGCCCCTGGGGATAACATATGGAAAATTCGATTTTCCTTAACAGAAATAAAAGGTGTTTTTTATATTTTTCCACGCAAGCCATTTTCACTATATGATTAATTATTAGAACTAGGCTTCGGAAAACCAAAGGCTTTAATGTTGCAAGTGGCTAAAGGGTTGAAATAAGGGCGTAATCTTGTAAAGAAAAATTGATATTTTAACTGATTTTTTCACACAAGCCCGTCGAAAGTATGAATACATACATCGTCACTAGCCCGAAAAACATATTGGCTTGAATGGCGCGAATGGATAAGTGCATTTTGGAGTCGGACAAATTACCGCAATTTTTTTTTGATTTTTGAGTTATTTTTTCATGCAAGCCTTTTTAACCATAGAATGTTATTAATGTGTTAGACATAATAATAAAATTGGCATGAGTATCGGATGTGGACGAAACGAAGGCTTGATTCGAAAAGTTGCAGGAAAATTGTATGGAAAATGCCACCATTTTCCCACGCTAGCCTTTTGAAATATGCTTAGAAAAAGTGATTCTAAGACTATATAACAAAAGGCTTGAGTGTCGGACATGGTCATCATATTAATTATATTTAATTTATTTAACAAAAACCTGACAAAAAAAGTTTATAAATTTCCACCATTTTCCCACACAAGCCTTTTGGCATATGCTTAGAAAAAGTGATTCTAAGACTATATATAAAAAGGCTTGAGTGTTGAACATGGTCTTCATATTATTTATACAAAATTTATTTAACAAAATGCTGACAAGAAAATCTATAAATATCCACCATCTTCTCACACAAGCCGTTTGGCATATGCTTGGAATCATTTATAATTCGTCATATAAAAAAAATAAAACTAAAACCTAAATAGCAAAACCTAAATATCACCCTAAATCATCTAAATATCGATTCTCAAAGTTATTTTATATTAATTTTATTATAAGAGTTGTCTCGTGGCCGGACTATTCAACGACTAATTTTATACCTTTTAAATGTTTATTAACTTAACGCCCTTTTAAATGATTGTAAAAATTCAAATATTTCAGTTGATTAACTAAATAAATGTATATCATAGTACTTACCAATTATTTAATTTGAAGAAAAATAAATAATGTAATGAACACAACAACCTGTAACTTCAATTTTAACCAAAAAAATAACGCACAATAATTATTTAATCTAATAACTTGTATAATTTGAAATAATGTCACATAATATCATAGGAACATCAACATTTTCTAATCGACTTCAAGAAAATCATTTTGATCTGTTAAAAGATTTATCTCATTACATTCTTGATTGCTTTAATATCTTACATAAATGCAATTTAAAATGGTTTCGAAGTGTCTATTCCATAGAATACTTGATTGTCATCATTAAATTCTAGGATATCTACTTTTTCATGTTTAGTAGCTGCATTTTTATTTTATACATACATTAATTTTATAAAAATTCAAAAATGGACCAACATATCTTTGTAACGAATCTGTTAATAGGGCCAAGTCTTTTCACCTCTGAGTAAAGTTGAAAGTAACTACTTTCTGATTAAACTTTAGGAATAATGTTTGTTAATCTGTCAAGTAAACCTACATGTAACTTTACTCAGAGGTTAAAAGATCGACCCTTAACAGGTATTTTAAAGTTTATATTTAATAGCCCTTTGAACAAATATATATAAATTTTTCTATAAAATAAACATATTGTTAATTCAACACTAAATTCATATTAAAATTTACTATACGAATAATTACCGAACAATAAATAATAATAACAACTGCATAAATATTTATTTGTAAACTTTTTGGTCAGTTCTTTTTTAGATAAATAATATGCTCCATGTCCAATAATCAAGTCTTTTGTTATATCGTTTAAGAATTACTTTTTCTAAGCATATGACAAACGGCTTGCGTGAGAAAATGGTGGAAATTTCTAGATTTTCTTGTCAGCTTTTTGTTGAATAAATTATAAAGATATAAATAATATGATGGCCATGTCCGACACTCAAGCCTTTTGTTATATATTCTTAGAATCACTTTTTCTAAGCATATGTCAAACGGCTTGTGTGGGAAAATTGTGGCAATTTGCATACATTTTTCCAGCAACTTTCCTATGTTCTGAAAATATGAAGACCACGCTCTGCACTCAAGCCATTATTTTTTCTGGTCTCTTAAATTCATAAGTTTTTATTGCAAAAAATTTCGTTGATGGGAAAATAACTGAAAAATCGAAATAAATTTCTGTTAAATTTTCCAACCTTAAAAATGACTTATCCACTCACGCCACTCAAGCCAATATGTTTTTCGGGCTAGTTACGATGTATGTTTTCATACTTTCGATTGGCTTGTGTGGAAAAATCGGTTAAAATTTCGATTTTTCTTTACAAGATTACGCCCTTATTTCAACCTTTTAGCCACTTGCAACATTAAAGCCTTTGATTTTTCGAAGCCTTGTTGTATTAATTAATCATATAGTGAAAATGGCTTGCGTGGAAAAATGACCAAAAAACACCTTTTATTACTGTTAAGGAAAATCGAATTTTCCATATGTTATCCCCAGGGGCCGCTCGTAAATTTGCTTTCATTCTACTCAAAATCGATGTACTTTTCAACCCTCTTCGAGGCTTGCATGCGAAAATGGGGCACCTAAATCAGTCACTATCTGACGGTCTATTATACTTAACACGGCAGTATGCACCATTTACTTTGAAAGCTATATATTTCAAAAACTTCCTTTGAACAGATTCAACACTAATCATGTGAATATTATAGTAGGGATACCAGATACTTGAACAGTACCCTAGCCTAGTGCGGATATATGAATAGTATACTGTTTTTAATCATCCAATGGGCCCGTTCACTTTCATTTTTGAATGTGAATTATTTATATATTTATAAAGATATTAAACTCTTTTGTCTGGTGGTACTTTTCCCGTTAAGATATTTTTGCTAGAAGTATGGGAATTCCCATAAAATTCTTTCAGTGACTCATTGCGTCAGAAAACCCCTAATTCCCTTCAGGTCTTGTATCGGTTAATAGTTAAAAGGGCGCGGTTGTCGGATGTATCATTGCACCACCATTCCTCTTCTGCATTTATTAAGGAAATTTACATGATAAAAATTTATTATTTTTTAAAAATAATGTGTTTATATTTTCAGATAAAGCTGGAAGCCTTACCTCTTTTAAATTTTAATAAAAACAATTAGTATTACTCAAGCTGAATATTACCAGATCGAAATTTTATTTGAGAAAATGTATCTGGTAAACGTGACAACGTTGTAAGTACTTCTAAATAGTGTTGTCTACCACTTCTAGAAATAAATGCAACGTTGCCACGTTTACGAGATAAATATTGCAAATCAAATTTCTACTTTTTGATTATGGTCTGGTTAATTTTCAGCCTGAGTAATAATAATTGTTTTAATTAAAAAGTAAAAAATAAGCTCCCAGCTTTAAATCTGAAAATATAAGTTCATGATTTTTAGAAAAATAATGGAATTTTACTATTTAAATTACATATATAAATGCAGAAATGCTATATTAGGGATACTTCCGACAACCTCGCCGTCTTTAAGCATAACTGATACGAGACGTGAACGGAATTATGGATTTTCTGACGCAATGAGTCACTGAAAGAATTTTATGGGAATTCCCTTACTTCTAGCAAAAATATCTTAACGGGAAAAGTACCACCAGACAAAAGAGTTTAATATCTTTATAAATATATAATTAATTCACATTCAAAAATGAAAGTGAACGGGCCCATTGCTACGTTTAAATGTACCTCATCGAGCGAGTAGATTTTTTGGTCACGTGACATCGAGCAAACCATATCAACGAAGCAAAGGGGCGGTATCGAGTAAAAAAATCTGATGTGTCCAACACATGACTTTCCTATCTAATTACAGGCTTTTTCCGGTTATTTTGTACAACCTATTGCAGCACCTCCATAAATGTTTAGAGGATAAAATAAATATATACATTTTCCGCATACATATACCTCAAAACATTTTTCTATAGATATTCATTGAAAATGAAAATACTGAAAAATTTAAATTTAGCACTTTTCCTACAATTTTTCCATTACGGTCCATTTTAGAAAAATCATGTATAAACAAAAATTATAGAGATCGATATCGCAAACAACTTTTATTTCAACAATTTTCATAAAAATCGGAATTTTGCACATTTTGTCAAATTTCTCGAATACGGACCATTTCAGGAAATTTTGACATAAAATTAAAGATAATAATATTAGAAATAACTTTTATTTGAACAATTTTTTTCTCCAAACATAAATAACAGATATATTCCATAAAATATAAAAACGGCCCCCCATAAAGTACCTCCCCAGATGTTCCGACTTTGTCCAAAATCTAATCATTTCACGTCAGGCCGAAATAAAACTTAAGTTTAAAATTTAATGTTTTTTTCTTTATCAGTTTTTGAGTTTTCCTTAAATTTCTAAATTTACACATTTTCTCAAATATCTCGAATACGGACCAATTTAGGAAAATTCTGTATAGAACAAAAATTTTAGATAATAATATAAGAAGTAACTTTTATTTGAAGTATTTTCTTCCCCAAACGTAAATAACAGATATATTCCATAAAATATAAAAATGACCACCTATAAAGTACCCCCCCCCAGATGTTCCGACACTGCCCAAAATCTAATCAGCACATTGGACGCTGGAACAAAGCTTAAGTTTGAAATTTGGTGTTTTTCTGTGTATCGGTTCATGAGTTATGCGACACACACACACACACACAGACATCATCGCGAAAATAGTCAAAACTGATTCAGGGGACCTCAAAACGTAAAAATCCGTCGAAAACTCGAGGTCGAAAAAAATCATGATTCCTATACTTTCCTTATATCTGTATACAGATAGGAAAGTAAAAAGCAAAACGCAGCAATATTCCCTGAATCCACGACAGTTTCGTATTACAAACCCATACATTTTGTTTGCATCAGAAACCTTCATATTAATACGCTCAACAAAACTGAGACTTGAGTCAAAAGTGACACCTAGATCAGTGATAGAGGAACAACATGACAAAACTAAACCAATAATATTATAGTAGAAATCTGTCTACGTAAGTTGGCAGCATATGAAAAACTTGTTTATTATTAATATTAGAAAAAAGTTATTCTTCATAAAAAGTCGAGCATGGTCTAAAACCTAAAATACAACTATCGGATCTGGCTAATTGGTTCCTACCACAGCCATTCAACTAATTAAAAAAAAACTATATCAAATTTTATCAGTTGTATACGAAGTTTGTCAAAAAAAGGTACTTTACTCTTCAGCAAAAATATTTTTTGATAAACCTCGTATACGGCTTAAAAAAATTGATATCTGATTGTTGCATTTTAAGTTTTGGGCCATGCAGGACTTTATATCCCGAATAACTTTTTTTACAAAACTAATAATAAAAAAGTTTTCCATATGGTTCCAACTTAATGAGACATATCATATGTGATTGTAAATAACAATCTCGAAGATTTTGGAGAAATTTGACAGAATAGATACAGGATGACAGTTTTTGATTTGTGTCTTATCACCTGATTTAAAAACAGGAATAATTTTTGGCTCTTTCCACTGCTCTGGGAATCTTTCTGACTTTAATGCTAAATTAAATATTATGTTTAAGGAGGTCCTTTCGCCACACCTCTCGCCTCAAATGTTGAAAAAAAGTTATTAGATTATGACTAAAATTAATTTTTTTCTAATAGTTGAAGTCCTTATTTATCTAATACTGAACTTTTAACTATACCTTACCTTGCAAATTTTTGAGATTTTTTTTTAAAATGTGAGTATTTGTACAGTGCCTCACGAGAAAGTAAGTCTTCAACAACAATTCTCGAATTATACTATTATTTATTGATTAGATGGAGTAGAAAAAAACTAAAAATAAGATTTTTGAAATATTTAGATTTTGTTTTATACAATAAAATATATATAGTAAACCGTGGAACTTATTGAGAAATTAATATTAAAAAATCACAAAAAATTTTCAAGTAACCTAGTTGAAAATTTTTTGTGATTTTTTAATAATAATTTCTCAATAAATTCCACGGTAACCTATATATTTTATTGTAAAAAACAAAACCTAAATATTTCAAAAACCTTATTTTTAGTTTTTTTCTACTCCATCTAATCAATAAATAATAGTAAAATTAATTATAATTCGAAAATTGTTGTTGAAGTCTTACTTTCTCATAAGACACTGTACAAACACACACATTTAAAAAAAAATTCTCAAAAATTTGCACGGTAAGGTATAGTTAAAAGTTCACTATTAGATAAATAAGGACATCTACTATTAGAAAAAAATTAATTTTAGTCATAATCTAATATTTTTTATTTAACATTGGTGGCGAAAGGACCTCCTTAATGGATAAAATAATCATAAATATAGTCTTTAACAAAAAATTATGGTATATCATCAGAGCCAGAGGTCATTTTATTACTTATTTTTTGACTGGCTTGTAAGATGTCAGATTCACTAATATTGTCAATATTAATGGTGTCACCATAAAATTGTCATTCAAATAAACTGTCCCTATTCTGCTTTGGCTCCGATGATGTTACAAAAACAATTTCGAAGAATTGACCAAACTTATTAACTATTTCTTGTGATTTGGCAAATGATTTATCTTCAAACAACATAGTGCCCGGAATACGTGAACTTTTATTTTTTGCATTAATATGGTTGAGAGAAGGGTGTTTTATAATTTTTCCAATAAGACATATTTCACATGAACGTAAATGTTTATTACCTTCAAATTTTACACCATGTAACATCATTTTTATTAAAAAATAATCAGATCTTGTTCATTTAAGGTAGTTCACTCGTAAAACGGCTTTTCTTAAGAATTTAATAAAATTTAAATATAAGGTCAATAAAAGTGTCTTTTACGGGATATTAACACTCAAAATGTGCATAATTAAAACTCTTGAAGCCTGTCATGTACACAAGCAATGCATTTATTTCAATATATCTCGAAAACGGTTCTTACTATATTTTTTAAAAACTAATGTAATGTAAATCAAGAAGTCATAAAATTTTCTAAATAAACCTGAATTTTTTGATTGTTTTGGTAAAAAGATATATTTTTTAAAATAAAAATATTTTTAAAGCAGTCGACCTGTAGTGGGGTATAATGATTACAACTTGGCAACATTGTAATCGCTACACTTAACGCGCGGTAACTCAAATGTCTGTTAGATTACTTTAGGCTTGTTTTGGTTCTTTCGGAAACTAGTTCAGAATCACTGAATTACACTCAATCAGCTAAGAGGTTGTTATAACCTCGCGGCCTATTCTTGAAAAATTAATTCGTCCACTGTATTTGAAAACTGGAATCGACGGTTCTGTTGAACCAAAAGAAATCCTTAAAATTAGTATGAAGTCACAAATTTCTATAGGTATACACACTCTCTTCATATCCCACCATTCATATATTTGCGACGTTGGCGGATAGATTTTACTTAAAATAATAACGTTTCCGTATATATATAAGCTTACAATTTTTGTGTACAGTCTCTTACAAAAATAATTTTTTTTAGCATTGAGAAACTCGAACTTTTGGTATTCACCATTAGGTGATATTTTTGTGTACGACTGTCGTGAGTGAACTACCTTAAATGCTGAAATATCCTATGCCATTCCTGCATACTCCTCTTTCTTTAAGAAATAAAGCCCATTCCTTTTGTTAGCTAGTATATTTGAATTACCGGTCTGATTTATTACAATACCATTGTTTTTTAAAAATATTACTTCTTAACCGTTATCAGTAATTTTTCTAAGGTCAAGAACAAAAGGTATTTTGTAACTTCAAAGTATTTCCACCTTCAATATGTTATTTTCATCTCTTTGCATTTTATGTTGGGTTAGCTGTTTCTGTGGGTTGGCCTTTATTCAGGTCCTTTTGATTGAAAAATTGTCTGTAACTTCTCCCACAATTTTTTTATTTGCTTTAATTTTGAGGGACTTAGTGAAATTAAATCAATTTTCGCCTTTCGATCTGTGGAATCCCAAGTTGTGGCAGCAACGACTTCAGTCAGCCAATTCTTACTCCCAATGATCATTCCTTGTTAAAAGAGCTTCTACTTGTAACTTCCAAGAATCGAAATCCTTTCATAGAGGTTTGAGTCTGATGATCATGGTCTTCGAACTCATACTTGAAATAATAACTAGATTTGCAGGCACTTTTTTAACAAACTGTGCCCATAACCTATTAGGATATTTTGCAGTAGTAAAATCAAATAAATTACAATATTGAATTAAACTTTCTTTTAAGCTGAACTTGTGTAACTGACAATTGAAATCTTTTTATCAAGTTAACATTTAAATATTCATTATACAGGGTAAGTTTATTAAGTTTGTTAACTTCTAAAAATAATTAGGTGTACAAGTCTAGATAATTAGGTACAATGAATTTACTGGTTTAAAGGAATTGAGATAATTTTAAAGGAATTGCTACAAGTGGATAGTAAAAGGAAATTAGATGTTCAGATTTTGGCCTGCTATTTACCTCTTGGATTATTCATTATTAAGGCTTGTGATAGGTCTTTTAAATACCTTGGACCCAAATTCATATTTGTTTTGAGATAATGAACGTAAAACACTTTAAACTTCGCTTAATCACTGTGATTTGTCAAGTGTTTATTCTATTTATAAACTTTTTTGTGATAGTCATTTGGAATATTTTTGATTTAAGTACAGCTCTAGTGGTTTAACATAAGGAAGCTGGTACTCTTTGAATTGGGGGAAATAGTGAAGAACAAATCAAATAAAAATAATCTAAACTATATGGTTATAAAAAATCTTAGTGGCGAAAATATCAATAATAAAAATATTGTGTAAAATAGAATAGTAATATGTTTTATGAAAATGTCAATAAAAATATTGTGTATAATAGAATAGTAATTTATTGTTTTCTAAAGGTTTGTATCAATAAAATTATTATCTTCTAAAATAACTAAGAATTTGAATGTTTAATGCATCTTACCAACCTTTTATAATATAAATAGTAACTGATACATCTTTTTTCCATATTTATTATTTGTTTTCGCTTAGTCTCATTTTTTGACGATTCAGAAATTTAAAAATATTTTCTATTGAATTCAAATTTTAGTAGACTTGTTTAATGGGAATAACAGACGATTTTTACTTATTGGATTTTTAAATAGGAATTAAAACCACTTCAATAATTATTTTTTTCTCCCATTTTTTCTCACTGAAATCATAAGAATTTTAGGTTTAGGTGATTTCCAAAATAAGGGTACGTTTTGACCCTAGTGGTTTTCCCCTCGGGGTATTTGGTCTGCTAATACAGTGTTACAGTACTATTTTTAGATACAAAATGTTTTTTTTTTAATGTAGCTTATTTTGACATCTTAAAATGTGAAATCACATTGATCTTTTTCTAATTTTGACATTTAAAGTGAAATTTTTTGTAATCGTAGCAAGTGTCAAAGTGATCTACTTTATGCAACCAGTTGCATAATGTTGAACATTATGATAAAATGTAGTGTGATGGGCTGGCTGTCATAGAACCCTGTAGTTACTGGTTTAGGCACAAAAAATTAGAGAGATCCAACTATTCTCTGAAGTAAACTATTGCGAATTTGAATTGCCCATTTATTTACCATACAGAATGGGAAGAGCACTATAGATATATGTAGATATCGCGTTTTTACTAAAATTTGACATCACTTATTTACGGATGGTACAGAATTAACCGTTGTGGAACCAAAATCATGTCACTTTTATTTTGCAGTATTTTTTGTTTGATTGCGCTTATAACAACAATCCTACCTTATTGCATTTTTTTCCAGGTCAAGATTCGTAGAAAGCAAACAAGAATTAGATGCACTCCTAACAGATGAAACTCTAGCAAACTGTCCTGTCCTAATTTTAGGCAATAAAATTGACCTGCCAGGTGCAGCCTCTGAAGACGAACTACGAAATTTTTATGCTTTATATGGTCAAACCACAGGTAAAGGGAAAGTTGCCAGATCTGATCTCCCAGGACGACCCCTTGAACTTTTTATGTGTTCCATTTTGAAGAGGCAGGGCTACGGTGAAGGTTTTCGCTGGTTAGCTCAATATATTGATTAAGTTGTGCTGTCAATACCAGTTGTCATATTCTGAGAACTGATTGTTACAGGTCATTTTTTTTTTCATATTGTTTGGATACTCATTTTTTGGTTCTTTGAATGAGGGTTGCAGTTATGAAAATAATAATGGAAGTAATATTGGACCTGATATAAGTGCTACTTATTAAACAGCATGAAGAACATCAAGATCAAATTCAATAAGAAATTCTAATTATCCTCACTATCTTTTTTAAGATAAAAATAAAAAAAACACATTTTTTAGCAATTACATGAAATGTTAAAATTTCCTAAGTTTATAAAATTCATATCTCGCATGTTTCAATATACATTTTTTAAAGTGAACATAAATTTAAAATTATTCAAGGTTAAATGTCAATGTAATCATAAAATTTGGATAGTACACTAATGTATGGAATTTAATATAGTTACTTTCACCATTGCATTCTTTATACAGTCACATAACCACCATTTATTTGTATGGGGTGGTTTTTACTTAAATTTTATTAAACTATTTATTTAGAATAATTATACATTACAACCCATCGTGGTTATATGACTGACATATAATTATTGTGAACTGCAACTCTTATTCAAAAGTGACAGTATGAATTTTTGTTTAAACCAAAAAAAAACCTGAAATGTTTTGTGTAAACATTTTTTTTTTCACAATTATATTTAGGTGGACCTTTAGTGTATTTTAAATTTGTTAATCTAATTTTATTGTATATTATCAAATATATTTGGATTTGGAATAAACAATTGATATTATTGATTCTTTTAAATACCTTTATGAAATATACCATTATTATCATTAGAAATATTGTGTTGAATAAAAAAAAACTATTCGGATTTGGAAAATAATATCAGCAAAACTAAGAAACAGTAATAATTTTGGATACTAAACTAAATCTGCCAGTATTAGTTCTATAATTAGTTGTGATGAAAATAATATAGCACATTATTTTTTTGGAGGTTATTTATTAAATTGTCTAAAAAAAAACAACAGAAAAATGCGTTTTTTACCAATCAAGAACGAGCTTATATATTGACAACTCCGTAGGTAACATTTTACAATGTACTTAACCAGGCATGTTTTGTTAAAAAAATAGTGCTACTCCCCAGACAACACACCAAATCCGAGAGATATCCACAGAATATCTTTTGTGGATATCCAATATATCCACAGGATATCAGAAATATTCCGTGGATCTAATATGGATATCCAAATGTCCGTCTATATCCAGAATATAGAAGATATCATATGGATATCCAGCAAAATATCTAATGAGTATCTTCCAGACAATACAAGAAATCCCAGAGATCCACAGAATATATTCTGTGGATATCCAATATGGATATCCTACCAAATGTCCGTCTATATCCCAGGCACAGTTTGTAGCTTAAAAGAATCAGTTCGCTCACTCGGACCAATTGGATGTTCCAAAATAACATCCACTCCAGGGATACAAATTCAGGATGCGCAGAAGACTGCTGTTTGAATATAGGCGATTGTCACAAATGAACTGCCAGTGGGAAGATTTGATATATCCAAGGGTTGCGACATACGATGTATTCTGTTTACAATACGTACAATCATGAATAATGGATTACATTTAAATATTTTATGTCAAACAATAAAAATAAGATACATTTTTTCATAAATTGGCAGGCTTTGTGACTATTATTTCGAATAAAAAAAAAAAAACGTTCAAGATGCAAGACTATGTCTCTACCCCCTTAGATATACCAGACCTTCTCACTGACAGCTATTGTTTGACAGGTTGGAATGCTTAATTGGTAATAGTAAGAGAGCCATAGATATTCATATCTATGAAGAGAGCCCACTGCAAATTACGACCGCCATCTGATAAGTGATAACAAAATGAAATATGCTCCAAAGACATGTAACAACCCAGACAGCACACCAAATCCTTTGGATATCTACTGAACATCCCAATATCCACTGAATGTCCAGTCCATGGTGGATATCTATTTTATATCCATGAAATGTAATTTATAGACATGCAAATGTCCACAAATAATTGTAATTATATAGCAAATTATTAAAAAATTACGCCATTGTACTCGCCATTGTGGCTAATAGTACCGTTGAGATATTTAAAATTAATTTTTTTTAAGGTGTATTCAATATCCCATGGACATCCACTATAAATATAAATATATCAAAGTCTAAGCGCGGACGCAAACCATCGTGGATATCTACTAGATGTAATTTTTGATTTTGCTTCCTAAGTATAGATGGCGATACCACTTTCGTATCTACTCATGCTTAACCCGCCGTAATTGAGTTTGATCGACATTGTTTCACAAACAGACTTCATTAGAGACTGAAGTCGAGAAGTTCCATTTATTGCTGAAGATTCCTAATAAGGATGATTTTCTCCTTAGTAGGCAAAATCAAAGGCAGACTGTTGGGAATATTTTTTACCTCTATTTTCTTTCGACGTTATTCAATAACCATTGGTTACTTATGAACCTCTACTAAAAATAATTATAAAATATTTATCTGAATTTCTATATCCTGGGATATAGACGGACATTTGGTTGGATATCCACAAAATATATTCTATGGATATATCTGGGATTTCTTGTATTGTCTGGAGATACTCATTAGATATTTTGCTGAATATCCATAGGATATCTTCTATATTCTGGATATAGACGGACATTTGGATATCTATATTAGTTCCACGGAATATTTCTGATATCCTGTGGATATATTGGATATCCACAAAATATATTCTGTGGATATCTCTGGGATTTGGTGTGTTGTCTGGGAACATTGTACTTTACCAAATTGCTCCTGTGCCAATCTGTAATCCAGAGCAAAGTGGTTAAAAAAATTATTTTATATTCAAAAAATTACATAAGACATGACAGCGATAATTGTGTTTTCTCTGAAAGTTACAATCCTAATTCATTGTGAACCTAGCTTTTAAACCTGCTCCGAAGAAGAAATCACCCTTGAAAGCCTGAGAAAGGGGCAGAAGAAAGACAATGATTTGAAAGTTGTTCGAGAATGGCTCAAAAATAAAGTTACACCTACTAGGCAAAAGATAGCCAAATACAGTGGAGTTATTGTATCAGTTGTATAATTGTTGTTAAAGTTTAGTTAAAATAAATTGTGATACCAAAAACCTGTGTAACATTTGAATTATTAATATTTTTACCTAACTTTGGCAGAGATAGTCAATAATAATTGTAAACTCTTGTTAGACAATTCTTTTAAACTATAATCATAGTAGTTTTTTTGTCGTTTCTATGACAACCTGTAAAAATGAATCACAACAATAGGCATACAAATAAATTCTTAAATTGATTCATATTTTTATTGATTTTTACCTACTAATCTAATCGTGTGTAGATGTTTTTGTGCGAAGAGGAAGAAAATGTTTCCCGTTAACGATATATATCAAGATATATTTGAATATGTTATTATCTGGAAAACTTTAAGG